CCTGTTCCTTACAACCACAAAATCTGCCTGGAACACATTGTAAAAAGATTTCATCCAGACTTGAGTGAGGAGGTTGCAGAGATGAGTAGGGGTGGCAGGAGAGAAGAAACTGGAGTGGTGTCTGATTACACCTCCCCTGGACTCTGCCCAGATACCATCTTGAGGTTGGATAGAAGGACCAACACCCTGGACCTATTTCTTAGCCCTTTTCTCCTTGTCGTTGTGGCTGGTATGAAGGGAGGAATGGTGGTAACAATACACCCTGTTATTGACTGTCTTGGGCAAGCTGTCCTCAACATTATGTGGGTTACTTTATAAAAAGTTAAAACCAAAAACCAAAACCATTGCCGTCAGGTCGATTTCAACTCATAGTGACCCTACAGGGCAGAGTTGAATCACCTCATAGGGTTTCCAAGGCTGTAAATCTTTATGGAAGCAGTCTGCCACATCTTTCTCTGATGGAGTGGCTGGTGGGTTTGAACCACCGACCTTTCAGTTAGCCATTGAGCTGCTTAATCACTGTGCCACCAGGGCTCTTAGGTGTCTTATTTTCACTGTTTAACTAAAGGAAACACCAAGGCTCAGAGAGGTTAAGAACCTGCCTAAGATTGCACAGTTTTTGAGTGAAGAAGCTGGGATTGAACCCAGCCTATCTGACTCTAGAGCAGACTCTCAACCACCACCCTTAAAATACCAGAGCTGAACAAACAGCACAGGCTAGTAAAAAGGCAACGGGTGAGTCTGTATGTGAGTTTTGTTTACACCAGGGGATGCTGGAGGCAACCAACTGACTTCTGTAGAAAAGTGGAGTCAGGAGTGAGGGGCCTTGAATGTCAGGCCAACTCTGAACCAGATGTAACAGGTGCTATTGGTGATCACTGAGTGACAGGATGAAAGCCTTGGGTGGGGGTGGCCAAATGAGAAAAGATGTTAGCATGACAGAGAAAGAGCAGGGAGACAAGCTCCTCCTCTCAGTGGTCGCTATCTCTCCCGTTCATTGACTCCACCCCAAGCTGGGTGCAGTGAATCAGAGAAGTCCAAGCCACAATCCCGGCCCTTGGACACTTCCAGGGGTAGAGAAAGACAAGAGGAACTGGAGACAGAGTAAAATATTTACAGCACAGTGGGATTTGGAGCTTGCTAGTTGGCAGCCTTAAGGCCAAATCTGGCCTGCAGATGGGTTTTGTTGAGCCCGCCTGGGTTTTTAGAAACATTTAAAAATATTTAAAAAATTGAGAGACTTTACATAAACAGATTTCTGGCCTTTCTTGAAAAATGGACACCAGATCCATGTCTCCATGTGACAACCACTGGCTGGGGCTGAGCAGTAGCTGCCCCTCAGGGGGTGCGCGCTCTCCAGATTGCCCGTCTGCCCCCGCCCCATCCCCCACTCAGAACAGCTGGCTCTGCCACTCTCCACCTGGCTGGTCTCCGTGGGTGCTCGAGACTTGTGCTGTGACAGAGCTGACTGGGTGCTGGGGACCCTGGAATTTGAATTCTTAGTTCCTGGAGGCTATCAAGTGAATGTTCACCTTCCTGTAAGCAACTGAGCTTTTAAATTTGGTGCTCAGGAGAAAGAGGGGACCAGAAACATAGAGGTAGTGGTGAAGGGGACTGGAGTGACAAAGGAAGTGGTGGCCCAGTGAGGAGTGGGGAGAGGAAGGCAGTTTGGGGACCTCACTGTGTAAGAGGGGGCAGGGAAGAGGGTGAGTCAGGGCAGCCTGACCGGGGGGTCAAGAAGGTCAAGAAGACATCGTGGTAATGGCGGCGATGAGGTCAGGTGGGAGCATGTGCCCACAGGAGTGGTTTCACGTGGGGTAGGGGGGTAAGGGAGCAGATCAAAGCGGGCACAGCTGTAAATGGGAGGCCAGGCGGTGACTTTGATGGCTCTTTCAAGATACTTGAGAATGAAGGGGGGGGGGTAAACTGAGGAAGAAGCAGGAAATGTTTCTTGTTGTTTTGTGCTATTTGTCGGCTAAGGAGAAGGAAGGAGCCAGCTGAGAGAGAGACATGAAGTGAAAGAAAAAAAAAAGAGCTGTTGTCTAGTCGCCTCTGACTCCCAATGACCCCATGTGTGTCAGAGTAGAACTATGCCCCATAGGGGTTTCCATGGCTGATTTTTCACAAGTAGATCACCAGGCCTTTCTTCAGAGGCGCCTCTGGGTGGACTTGAACCTCCAGCCTTCAGGTAGCACGTTAGCTGTTTGTGCCACCCAGTGACTCCGGAAGAGAACAAGGGACAGGCCAGCAGCAGGATTTCTCTTTGAACTAGAGGAGATCATCTTCCTCATTAACAGGGCTGTGGGAGAAGGTGCGGCCTCCACAGCAGGCAACTCCGGGCATCAGGAGAAAGCTCTGCGAGACTGGACCGGGGTGGGGGGGTGGGGAAGGAGGTTCCTAGGAAAGGCTCCCTCTGCCTGGAATGCTTTTTCGAACCCTCCACACATCTTTCCGGCCAGCTTCCAGTTCCACCTGCTGGCTTCTCTCCTGTGGCCCTGGTCCCTCCTCGTCCTGCTCAGCACCCTTCCCTGGGACTGAGGCAGCTCCTCCTGGTCTGCACTGGTTCCTGCGGGCAGTGCTGGGTACCAGGTGGCTCAGACTACCAGGAGAGCAGGGCTGCACACACACACACACACACACAAACTGGAGGAATTTGACTTCTAGTGTTTTTTAAAACAACAAGGCATAACCCAGGAATTTCAGATCTCTTATACTTCTTTCGTGGCTTAGTCTTTTTTTTTTTTTTTTTTAATACTTGGCTTCACTGAAGGCACAAAATATATTTAGAATTTTCTTTAATAGACATGTCAAAGTTTTGGTTTCTACAGTCAGTTCTTTAATCCACGTGGAATTTGTTTTTATATATGATGTGATGTTTAGTATCGTTTTTATTTTGGATTTCAGATGGGGAGGGACCATAATCTTTTCCATGTTTATCCTACTGCCGTCGAATCAATTCCGACTCATAATGAGGGACCCTATAGGACAGAGTAGAATTTCCCCATAGGGTTTCCAAGGCTGTAATCTTGATGGAAGCAGACTGCCACATCTTTCTCCCACAGAGCAGCTGGTGGCTTTGAACCTCCGACCTTTCTGTTAGCAGCTGAGCGTGCTTAATCACTGTGCCACCAGGGCGCCTCTTTTCCATGCTTAGGGCCTCCAAAGGCTTGATCCAGCCCTGGCAGGGGCCCAGGCTCCTCTCACCCCTCTGTGCTTAAATGTCTCGGCGCCCAGCGGATGTGGTGGCTTAGGCCGAGGAGAGGGGAGCGCTACTCAGGAAGGGCACACCAAATCACAAAGGGTGTGCACGCCAGCTCGAGCTGGTTTTGTGCCGCCTCAAAGTGCAGAACATGCTGCAACACGGTCAGAAAGGTATTTGCCCAAGCGACTCAGACATGTTCCAGCGTTTTCCCACAGGCTGCTGCACATCCCAAAATAACTGCGGCTCTGGATCCTGTCCGTTGGCATACGATTACATTTGTATAATGTTACAGGACAGTGGACAGACCGCCACCTTCACACAGGAGCCTGCAGGAACGCACAGCCCATAATGGAGCTCCGTGCTGGGCTTCAGGGCTGGGCTGGTGACAGAGAAACACCAAGGGCAGAGGCCAGAAAAGTAAGAAGTGTGGACTTACGGGAATCACCCAGAACACCAACAGGGGCCTTGGTCAACGCCCACCTTGTATAGATGGGGCCCAGAGAGAGGGAATCACTTGCCCCAAATTACATGTCTGGGGATTACAGGGGAAAATCGGTGGGAGAGTTGGGCTCTAAACTCTCGTAACTGATGGCGGGCGATGTTTATTTCTGAAGAAACATCAATTCAGCCCTAGAGTCATCAGGTCTTAACTCAAGGGGGCTTTCCAGGTCTCCTGGCCACCCGGGCTGCTTTATGTGCCCAGGTCTGGACAACACTGTGGGGATAAGGAGGGGTCAGAGCGGACCTGTCTTCAGAGGACCGAGTCTTGTTGAAGAAATGATTAAAGACCTTAAAACATCTAGAAATCAACTGGGCGCTGGAAGTAGACAGAGGGAGATGGGAGTTTGGGAAAGCCTGTGAGCGAGCATCCTGTCCAGGTGGGGAAGGTGTCACAAAAAGGTGGGCCTCAGGGTGGGCAAGACCTGGACAGTTGGGTAAAGACGGCAAGTACAGACATCAGAGGTTAAGAATGGGGCCACAAAGGGGAGAGGAAGGCAGGGAGAGGTTTCCAACCTCACCCAGGGATCTAGACGGTGTGTGAAGGCTACACGTAGCTTCCAGCGTAGACGCCATCACTCACTAGCTCCAAGTCACTGACTTCATGTGGGAAACGGGAATAATCTCATAGGATTCTGGTGCAATATATAAACAACAAAGGCTCTCTAAGCTGGGACGAGGTGAGGTAAGGTCCTTGCCCTTGTGGCCATCCCAGTCCACTTGGTACTAAAGAAGATGGTGCACAGTGGTGACACTAACGTGGCCTTTGATGGCTCACGGACCTGGACTCAAATCCTGTCTCTGCTCCTGGTTTTAAGAGTGAGCAAGTCATTTCCCATGTCCTCAAATGTAAACCAGGATGCTAATAAGAGCCAACTTTTGTCACATGCCAGGCACTACTTTCAGTGCCTCACCTGCCTGCAATCATTTCATATTTTTTCTCCAGGGAGGGAAAAAGACTATGTAACTTGTCCAGTGCCACAAAGCTATCGTGGTGAAGCTGGATTTGAACCCAGGTGTGATTCAAGTCTGTGCTCTAAATATGATATTCTCCAGAGGGTATTGGGATGATTAGAAAGCCAAAACCCTCAGCTATTTGGCAGATACTCAATAGACATGTCCCCTGACTCCTGCACGGGGTCAAGGTAGTTGTGTTAGCAAGAACTTGCAGCCGGCTCAGTGCCAACCTCTTGCCCCCGTGCAAGGCCCAGGGGCCACCAACAGACAGGCCAAGTAATTCCTGTTCTGATGTCCATGTCTCATGTAATTTGATGACTGAAAACACTCTTTAACTACATGAAACAGCTACTTATTGATGATGCTGAGTGATAAAAAATGTCAATTCAGTAACCACTGAAGGAGCCTTAATGTTGTTTTCAGGCCATGAAGAATAGACACCCAAATCCCAAAGAGAAATGGTCACATTCTTTATCTACTGTTCATTTTAAAAATAGTACGGTAGCTTTTTCCCATTTACATGTTTGAGTTTCTAGAATCAGTGGCATGTCTTTAGCAGTCAGCTTGTACTCCCCAAATGAGTTCACCCAGGAATGATGCTGGCGCACTCCCATCTGAATGACGTCAACGTTTCTCAGCAAGCTAAGGGTGGCAAGTACACCAGTGTGTATTTTTGTGCGGCATCGTCAGGCACCAACATTAAACTCAATACAGTCATGAGAATTCAGCTCAGTACTCTTAAGTTAGGATGCTCACTGGAAGTTCCAAGGTCTCAGGCCCGTCTTACACTTCCTTTCATTTTCAGATTTGTCAAGTGGTTAAAGAAAATCTAGCACCTCTCCAAATTCTAGGGCTGTGGTCCTTCTCAAGCTTTTAAAAAGCAGTGGCCAAGAAGAAGGATCTTCTTTTACCCAGTGGCTTCTGTGTGCAGCTGGTCCCTAACCCGAGTGGCTTCTAGGAACCCGATCTGAGAAGATAACCTGGTGCTGCTGGTCTGGTGACTCAGGTGTCAATAAAGATGATCCAAGACTCCCACAGAGCCCTGGGCAATTCCGGGAACTCACTTCCCTGGGCACTTTTGAACAATCTTAGCCCCTTGGTGTAGCCTGAGGGTGGGCCGAGGCTGGGTGGGCAGAGATGCTGCCCAAGTGGCTTGGTGGCCACTGGGTGGGGCAGTCTGGAAGGGTGTGGTGGGCACAGTGCTGTCACCTGAGTTCACAGGCCCAGGTTCCAAGCGGAACCTGAGACAGAAAAATGACTGAGACCCGTTCTCTCCGGAACAGGGCCAGTAGAGACGCTGGGAATCCCAAGGCAGGCTTGTCAACATGCCTACCATTTATTCTGACTGAGACCAGTGACAGACAACCCGGAAGCCACCAAGAATACGTTCAGTTATGTTAATACTTTATTTTTCTTTTTTCGAATGTAGAATTAAAGTCATCCAACATACAGATATTCCTATGGTTCCTTAAACATTCTCTTCTATCTAAAGTCAGGTCTATGAACTATGAGATGAAGAAAATCATCCCACTCAAATGGCAACATTTCTGAAGAATGGATTTGGTACCTAATGGGAAGGGAAAATTGACTCCCATCCACTCTTAAAAACACTCCTTCAGTCCAGAGCTACAGAAGACAGCTCACAGCTATGGCTAACATGTGGTGCTAATGTACAGAGAGAGCCCCAAACAACAAGTGATGATGGGGTTAAGCTTTGAAACAACAAGCAACTTCCTTTGTACAGAATAAGGATAGAGAAGCAAAGCGTAATTTTCCTCTTAGCCCTTTTATTAGTGTGCTTGCCTCCACCCACGTTGTTACTGCGTACCAAGCGGCTACAAAGAATAAAAACCAACTGATCTCAAGTCCTGAAACTCATGCAACTTAAAGCTCCCTAAGCACACAATTCCAAGTCTTTGGGCCTGATTTTATTTAGCGGGGACTACGGTGCTGCTGGGTTACCAGCTGTTTCTGTCGTGCTGGCGGGGTCTGGAGCTGCTGCTTCTTTGGCTTCTGGCTGCTGTGTTTCAGTTTGGGGCTCGCCTTCATTTCCGGCACTTTTCTTGTCTGTGGCCATGGTACCCATCTCCATGATTTCCTGCAGCGGCCGATCGCCTTCAAGGGAGCTGGGCTGGAGTTCATAAACCTGCACCTGACCTGGGACATCTATGGCTTTCTGTTCAAGTTTTTCCAGGATGGTCTGAACCTTCCTGACGCCGTCTCTCCTGGCCTGGCGCACATCAGCTCGTCCTTCAGGATCCACAGAATCCAGGGCCAGTAGTTCTTTGGTCAAATACTCTTCTATCATCAGGTACTTTTTGTCAGTCTTCTTGCCTTCGAAGTTGTCTACAGCTTGCTCCAGCCCCTGAACCTTCTCCAGGATGGCTTCTACTTTCAGCACACCTGGATGTTTTGGGGGCGGCTCGGCGTCTCCTGCTTTTGTGGGTACAGCTTCTGTCGGGGCAGGACTAGGGGCTGCCTTCTCTTCTGCAGCCACATCCTTAGGGGCCGAGGGGACAGCAGAAGGGCCAGGGCTGGGAGGACAAGGAACTGGAGCAGAGAGAGAGGCAACCTTGACTTCCACCTTCTCCGAGGGTGGTGGGGGCTTCTGGGAAACAGGCTTAGCATCCGCCTCCTTCACGATCACCTGAATTGGGATGTGCCCTGGAGCGAGATCTGGTCCAGCGGCGCCTGGCTTACTTTCTGGTTTGTTTTCAGGTGGGGGAATAGGGAAAGATTCTCGATGGGCCACTGGCTGCTGAGAAGGACAAAGGACACAGAGATGTGTTTTAATAACTCGGAGTCAGAGGCAGCTGTTTACACCTAGTACCGGTGAGAAACAAAACTGACAATTTTTTTTTTTTTTTAAAGTTTAACAGTATCAAAGAGATTTTCTAAGTCAGGTAATAATTTTATAAAATAAAAAAATGATATTAACCATGTATGTGTCTAAACTACCGTTATGCTTCCATTTATGACCTCGGTCTGTTACCTCTCATGGAATTTCTCTGTAGAAAGTATTCTTACAGCAACAAAAGAACACCAACACAATTCTCAAAAATGAAAATTCCAAAACCTCATGCCGATGCGGAGCTAGTTGAGTCCTCACAGCCTCAGACAAAGTACTGGGGGATTCCTACTCTCAGGTAAGGAGCTATGGAGCACGTGCCACTTGTTCCCCTTCTTTGCCCGTGGGGACCATCTCTGTGCAGGGTATAACCTTCTTATCTCCTGTTTCATCAAAGGCATCATCTTTTTAAACCTATGATTTTTTTAATGAAGTTCCTAGGTGGCACAAACTTTGCTTAAGCGCTCCACTACCAGCCAAAAGGTTGGCAGTTTGAATCCACCCAGAGGCGCCTCAGAAGACAGGCCTGGTAATGTCTCTGAAAGGTCACAGCCTTGAAAACTGTGAAGCACGGTTCTACCCTGCACACATGGGGCCGCCATGAGTCAGAATCAACTCGACAACAAGTAGCAGCAGCATGGTTTTTTTTAAACCTGTGACAGCCTCGTGGTTTCTGCCCAGACTGATGTATTTTCCAAGAATGAGCAAGATGCTCAAAATAGTTAACCCTCTAAGAACTCTGCTTCAGCACATCTGTGCCAGAGCTAATGCTCAGCTATGATGTAGCATCTTTGCGCCGACTTCCTGGTGCAGGCCGAGATTCTTTGATAGGACTGTAAGCTAGGGCCACGTATTCTTAAATGAACTGTGCTTAAAACAGAGTGATCTTGGCTCTTTGAGCATATATGCGCACATCTAAAAAGCCTTCAAACATCTCAGACACCCTAATTTCATCAACTGGGAAGTAAGAGTTAGACTATGTCACTTCTAAAACATTCCCCACTTAAAATACTACATTCTTCTATGACGTTTAGTTAGGTCAAATCCTTGCAAGCCTGCAAAAAGGGATCTTTGAATAGGCTATGAACGGAGGGCACGATGGACCATGTAAAGGGGGTGAAAGTAAGATGAAGTACTGTTTCCCCAGTTACGTGGGCAAATTTTGGGGGCTCTATAAACGGCTGATTCTTTCCCAGGATTACTGAGACCAAGCACGGATCTGGTGTGACACTTTGCTGACTCAGCACCAGCCACCTCCATCAAGTCTCCTTGGCCAGCCCAGATGTCCTCAACATTGGCCCTTACCACTCATAAACAAATCACACACCCCTCTTTGGGTTTTAAAAACAATGGCTGCAGAAGAACTGACTTTGGAAATCCTTATGAGAGGGTATACTATGGTCTGTACTCTTAAAAAAGTCAAGGTCATAGAGCAAAGAAAGGCCGAGCAACTGTTCCAGGTTAAAGGAGACTAAAGTGAAATGACATCCACATGTGGTGCTTGTGATCCCGGATTAGATCCTGGAATGGGGGTCGCGGGGATTGCTGTAAAGGAGATCTGAATATGGACTGTGCGGTTTAACAGTATGGTACTAATGGTAAATTTCTTGAATCTGATTATTCTCCTGTGGTTATGAATGACAATGTTTTCTTCTTAGGAAATACTTGCTGAACTATTTAGAGTCAAGGGGTATGATATCTGTAACTCTCAAACTGTGTATAAACCAAACAAAAACCAAACCCTTTGCCGCTGAGTCGATTTCAACTCATAGCGACCCTATAGGACAGAGCAGAACTGCCCCACAGGGTTTCCAAGGAGCACCTGGTGGATTCAGACTGCCGACTTTTTGGTTAGCAGACGCAGGTCTTAACCACTACACCACCAGGGTTTCCCAAAACTGTGTATATATGTATAAAAGAGTGAGAGAAGAAATGACAAAGCAATATAGAAAAATGTTAACCAACAGTGAATCTGGCTGAAGGGGATATGGGACTTTGCACGATTCTTCCAACTCCAGTTTCTGGAGTTTTGGAGGGCCCTGAAAGGCAGGCAGGGTGGGCAATAAGGAGCCCTAGGTCTCAAGTGTGTGAGTGACAGCTGAGGCTTGCCAGCTGTTGTCCATTTGGTGGCTGGAGGTCTGGCCCTAAGGCATCAAGTGAGAAAGGATCAGCCAGGCAAAAGCTGCAGAAAGTGCTGAGGTCTCACAGCCCTTGTCCTACGTTTCTGAGGGTGACCAGCAGTTTCTGGACTCTTATCTCCGGCAGTTCTGACGGGGGACCCAGGGCACCTGCTGAGAGCTCTCAGCCCCAGCAGAGATGGCCGTCTTGGCACGTCTGCTGACGACTAGCTTTCCATACCTGAGGCCTGTCGACGACAGAGTGCACCCGGACAGGCGAGGGCGAGTGCACTGGGGTGCTACTTCTGGCTGGTGAGCCCTCGCGGCTTGATGCACCCCGGGCGGGGGATCTGAACGGGGACACTGCCCGCAGGGGCCGGGGCTCCCAGTCGTCCCCCTGGATCTTGTGGAACACAGGCTGGTGGGTCTGGTATTCGCCCTGTTGAGCCGGGTAGTGGGTCTTCTGGGCTTGGTGGAGGGAGGGTTGGGCTGTGGGCCGGGCAACGTTCTGCTCGTGGATCACAGGGATGGGAATGTAGCCCCGGGGCAGTTGGTGACTGCCCAGGCTGCTCCTGCTGGAGGATGAGGGCAGGCTGGCCGAGGAGGATGAGGACGAGCAGTCCGAGGCCGCTGGAGACTGGGATTGCTGCAAGATAGAAAGGGAGAGGCCATGGCCCCATGAGCAGTGCCCCTGCCATGTGCTCCGACCACAGACAGGGGCTTCTGTTTGTATCTGCTCATGGTAAGAGGGCATGGCCCCATGAACAGTGGCCCTGCCCTGCATCCTGACCACAGACGGGGGTCTTCCATATGTATTTGCTCATGGCAACACATTTCATAAGCCCTGCCACCTGTACACATGTTAGTTTTCAGAATGTTACGACTGGAAGTTCTGGAGTCAAGAGGCCTGGATTCAAGTTCTTAGTAGCTTCCTGAGCCTCAGCTTTCTCATCAGGAAAATGCGGGAAAGAGTCCCTCCCACCCCTCCAGGGCTGTTCTGAAGATGAACAGTCTGTGCACATGCCTTAGTTCAGGTCCTGACGCATTTCATGATGGCATTTCCTGCCGTCTCTCCTGACCCACCTCTGCTAGCCCACAGAGAATGCCACTGAGCCCCTGGAAGCTGCAGCCCGTGTGGCCCAGGGCAGGCCTTCCCCTCTGGACGACTTTCTCTCCACCTAGAAGCCGAGGAGGGGGCTTCCCTGGCTGGCTTCAAAGGGCCCTGCTAGCTTAAATATGCTCAAATTTCTCTGATGTATCACTGACTGATGTGTCATTTTTGATTTTTACAATAAAAACATTACAAATATAGGTACTGCTTCTCCAAGAAAGGAGTGTCTGGGTGGTGCAAATGCGCTTGGCTGCTAAACCGGAAGTTTGGAGGTTCAAGTCCACCTAGAGGCACCTTGGAAGAAAGGCCTGGTGATCTACTTCTGAAAAATCAGCCACTGAAAATCCTATGGAGCACAGTTCCACTCTGAAACACATGGGGTCGCCGTGAATCAGAGTTGACTCCATGGCAAGTGGTGGGCACTGGTTCTCTCATACGGGAAAGAGCCCCCACTGCCGGTAGCCTGTGTTACCGTAATTTTTCACACCCAAGCAGGCACTGAAGCTATACAGATACACTAGTGCCCGCATCCATCAACCCGCCACGAGGCGCTTGGCTTCAGGCTTCAAATCCCATCTTAAAGCAGCTGCCTTCCTGCCTCTCGATTTTGGGTTTCCTTGTAAGCTGTGGGTCACTGTGAGGAACTTGAGGGCAACCATGTGTCTCGTTTTTATATCAATGTAGTTCCAAGCAGTTAACACTCATCCACATGTACTAAGATGAACGAAATAATAATACACAGCTGTCTCCGTTTTTCTGGAAGTAGAAAGCCCGGCATGAACAAGGAGCAACGGAGAAGGAGCCAGAGGCCAGGCTTCCAGTCCTCCCACTCTCACCTCTTCGCATCTGGACCAAGAAACTTACCCTCTGAGCCCCAGTGCCTTTAATTACAAAGAGGCCATGTGACTCCCATCCCGCCAGCTGAAAAGCACACCTGTGAAACGCTGGGGGGACAACACAGGGCTGTTGAGTGTCTTTGCCGAGTGATGTCTGATGCCACAGGCCCGGCCCAGACCCCCTGCGTTTCACAAGTGCCCGGCTGGGGTATTGCACGAGGGCCAGGGCCCAGGCTCAGAGGCAGGCAGCTCACGCTCCCAGGCCACCCTGCAGAGGCCCGCGAGCCAGGCCTCTCCTTACCTCAGGTCTGTGGGCGGCTAGGGGCTGGGCTGCCACAGCTGCTGCTGCCTGTCCAGACTGTTTATCTGGCTGGGCGGCTTCCACTACACCCCGCAGAGGGGACTGCGACCTCTGAGGAGCCGTGGCCGCTGCTGCCTCGGTTCGGAAACGCTGCGGCCCAGGCTGGGGATAGGTGCGGAAAGGGTGCCGGCTCTCCGCGCCTTCGTGGACGACAGGGATAGGAATGTAGCCGGGTCGGAGCTGGGGGTACACAGGGTGGCCTTCCTTAACGGGCAGCAGCCTGGAGCCTTCCCGGGAAGGGCCATTTGCAGAGGCCGGAGTTCCCTAAAATAAAGAGAGAAGCACAGACCGTTTAGGAACTGGGAAGGAAACCCCCCGAAGAGGAAGCAGAGCGTGGTGCTGAGCGCTCTGACCTTCCACAGAGGGATCTGGTTCCCAGGGGTCAGCCAGGACACCTGCGCCCAGGGAGCCTGGCTGCCCCACAGCCCCTAACGCCCCCTGCCCTACAGAGGCTGCTTCAGGACCAGTAGTTTAAGGACCAGGGGCATCGAGAGCAAGCAGGCTGTGCCAAGCTATCTGTTGAGCACAAGGGCAGTCCCAGTTTCCCAAACTGGTAAGACAGGTTTCTCTTCTGGGTGACCTTCGGGCGGCAGTACATGTAGCAGAGCCGCTAACAGAAGCGAGGACGAGGCAGTACTCCTCTGTCCTAGGGGAGCAACCCAGCTGCACACCACCACCACCAAACCACATTACAGCAAGCTTCTCTGCTTCCAGATAAGGTCCGCAAGCTTCCTGACAACGGTGTGTGTGTACCGGACCCAAACACAGAACACAGTTTGGAAATCCTGGCAGAGAAGGGGTGGGGTGGGGGGCAGGCTACCCCTAAGGAATAGTTCCAGAACAAGCTACAAGAAAGGGAGACACAGGAATGCAGAAGCCACGCAGGACGGGAACATGGCCGGGGTTAACTGTGCCAGTCCGCGATGCCAACAAGGCCTGCTGGGGCGAGGTGTGGTTGGGGACCTTCTCGTGTGCTCTCAGGAAGTTCTCCTTTCAGTGGCCTGGCTATTTTGGGACCCTTGAGAAGGCCAAGTTCCAGATGCACTGCAGGAAAAGATCTTATTTTAGACAACATGGCTGGCCAGTCACTCACCAGGCAATGTCATTTGTTGCCAAGCAGAGGCAGGGCAACATGGGTCCTAACTATCTCTCAGCGGTAAAGGTCCCTTTCCAGAGGAGTGAGTCCCTGCGTGGTGCAACAGCTAATGTGCTTGACTGCTAACTGAAAGGTTGGAGGTTCAAGTCCACCCAGAGGTGCCCTGGAAGAAAGGCCCGGTGATCTACTTTGGAAAAACTAGCCACCGAAAACCCTATGGAGCACAGTTCTACTCTGACATGCACGGGGTCGCCATGAGTCAGAGCTGACTGGGTGGCATGTGGTCTGGTCAGAGGAGGGGAGCTGTTGATTCGTGTTACTTATGCATGTCCAAGTAGGTCAACTATTAAGGAGAGTGATCCTTCCTTAAGGAGGCATTACTCTGAACTGCAAACAAGCTGCGGGGTATAGTATCTACTGCTGCAAAATCAGTTGAAAGTAAGGAAAGACACTGAGGGCTGATTTGCATTTTGCCTGATGGAACGTTTTAATTTTGCAGTGTGCTCCTACATCTGTGTGCAGCCATGGGCACCAGGTGGCTGACCTGGGATTCAGCCTTTTCCGGCCCATCAACTGCTTCTCTCCTGCTGAGACCCCACCCGGGGAGCAGCTCTCCAGCACACAGGAAAGGCAAGGGTGTCACCGTGTCCTTGGGGACATCAGCAGACAGGCACTCTCAGATTAGAATCCTCACGTGCTCAGGACAGTGGCATTATTTTAGCCTGCTTGACTCTCAGGTCACCCAAGAGCAGGGAGTGGGACCAGGCCTCACACTCAGGACCGGATTCCTGCTGTAAGACAGGCTCTGCAAGGGAGCCAGGGAGAGGCAGGAGAAACGCTCTGCTCCGGTGTGGAGCCAGGACATGCCTCCTGGACATTTGATCCATCCACAGAGCCCCTTCCATCCAGCCTGAATCGGGGGCCTACACAAGTCCTGGGACGTCATCTTTCTGGCTGCACGGAGCTTATCGTTTCTTCTCAGCCACGCACAAAAGTCTCACGCCATCTGAACACTCCACGGAGCCCAGCAGTTAGCAAGGCCTCATCCGCACCTGCCTCCTGGGTGAATGTTCTACCACAGCTTTGCAGAGTACTATGGGGCTACCCAACAAGCAAGGCACGTTCGCTGCCGTCAAGGGGCTCACAGGATAATTTAAGGATGCATGAAACAAATAGAAAAAAGTGAAATTACCTGGAGAGCATGGCAGACCCTGTGGCAGGGGGAGACGCATGGGCTCTGGAACTAGATGGGACCCAAGTTTGGTTTCTACCTCTAGTCTAAGAAGTACAGCCAGAATGCTCCTTAGAAGGATGGCAAGACTTTGTCTCACATACTTTGGACATGTTATCAGGAGGAATCAGTCCCTGGAGAAGGACATCATGCTTGGTAGAGGGTCAGTGAAAAAAAGGAAGACCCTCCATGAGATGGACTGACACAGCGGCTGCAATAATGGGCTCAAACACAGCAACGATTGTGAGAATGGCGCAGGACCAGGCAGTTTCCGTTCTGCTGTACACAGGGCCCCCATGTGTCGGAACCAACTCCCTGGCACCTAACAACAAGTGACAGTTCTGTGATCTTGGAAAATTCCCTGAACCTCTGTGGGCATTAATTTCCTTATCTAACAAATGGAGCAGCAACACCCACCCTGAGGGACTCTTGTGAGGTGTTATGAGAGCACATCAAAGGGACACCCAACAGGCTCCCAAATATGCTAGTTCCCTCCCTAAAGACACACGAGATTGTGCTATTTGGACCCAGAGTGTCAAAGAAATCAGAACTGAGAGACAAAACTAACTGAGGGTGACAGAAGTCACAATGGCAGCTGCCCCTGGAGGTAACGGTGATGACTGGGAAGGGTCCTGAAGAACCTTCTGAGGTGATGGAAATGTTCTCTATCTTTTTCTGGGTGGTGGTAATAAGGGTGTATACCTCACTTACTGTGAACTTGTCATTAGGAAAGGCAGCCACTAGAAAAGGACATCATGTTTGGTAAAGTGGAAGGCTAACGAAAGCGAGAGAAACTAACAGGGTGAGTTGACACCACGGCCGCAACGATGGACTCAAACACACCAGCAATCAGGAAGATGGCGCAGGGCCGGCCCTCGCAGCCGGCTGCTGGAGGTGCCTCCACTCCGACCCTCCCTGCGCCTGGAATCCTGAGACGGCCTGGCTGAGGCTTGGCTCCTCCTGGGGGAAGCTCCCTGGATCCAGAAGTCACTAGAACCAGCCTGCCAAGAGTTATGCACCTCACTGAATGTATTTGTACCTCAATTAAGAGTCAGGGAGGGAGGCAGAGAGGGAGGAAAGAAGGAAGCCTGTTGGCCTAAGGGACAGTGGCAGTAGAGACTGCTTCCTGGAGCAAATATTCTAGCTGGGTCTTGAAAGAAGTGCTGGGTTTGGGTCTGTGGGGGAAAGGATGTGGTCACGGCAGGCAGGCGTGGCGATGTCACAGCAGCAGCTGGAAGATGAATGCTGAGCTAAAGGAGAAGATACGGCTGACGGCACAGAGGGCCAAGCCGGAAATGAGGACCAGCATCCAGTACCCCGAGTTGCTATCACTGTAAGAGATGCCTCAGGAAGACAGGAGGGACTAAGAGAGGAAGCTAGGAAGCATTAGGAAATGAGGGAAGAAGTCCGTGATGAGAGGTGGGGCATGAGGGTGAAGCAGGGGCAGAGGAGATGGAAAGAAGGGGTGGCCCAGGAAGACAAGAGTGGGGCGCGGGGATGGAAATGCTTCTGTGGCTGGCAGGACAAGGGAGGAGACCTCCAGGAAGACTCAGACTTGAGCTTGGGGTCAACTGATCAATGATGCTGCCCACTGGCACAAGCTGGGAAGGCAGGGGTGGTGAGAGAGGCCTGGAGACTGCTTTTTGGACAGTCCTGATATCTAGACTCCTGGTTCCATGTGAATTAATGACCCACTTGTGCCATTTAAGAAAACACTGGGTGTTTCTTCACAAGCTTCACATCTGAAAGAAGCACCAGCCCCTCTTCCACTTAGGTGGGGCTCTGCTTTGAAAAATACTGCTTTAGGTGAATAAAAAGCCACGTCAGCTTCAAAGAATTGAAAATTAAACATGTGTATGTAAATGAATAAGGAGCCCTGGTGGCACAGTAGTTAAGGCGCTTGGCTGCTAACCAAAAGGCCGGTGGTTCGAACCCACCAGCTGCTCCATGGAAGAAAGATGTGGCAGTCTGCTTCCATAAAGATTCCAGCCTTGGAAACACTATAGAGCAGTTCGACTCTGTCCTATAGGGTCGCTATGAGTCAGAATCGACTAGATGGCAACAGTAGATTTTAACATAAATGAATCATTTAAACCAAAAATGAAATTCTCGGTCACAATAAGGTCTGTGTTTAGAATTCTGATGCCACCTTCTAATGTTTCTACCCTGCTCTCATTAACAGTCCTGCCAACAGCAAATGCAGTCATTCACACTTCCCTTTTAACTAACTCATTACTTTCTAAAAAGTACCATCTGAAAGAGTTAAATTGCTCTTCTTATCTCCTATGGTGTTTTCATCATGTTCTAGTAGGAAAAAAAAAAAAAAGATACAACTTTTTAAAAGAAAAAATAGTTTAAAATTTATGCTTCCCCTAGAACATGACTGAAATATGTCTCTCCAGTTCCACCAGGAGTGTCCTCAAGTTCAAGCACAAGTCCAGAAAAAGCCTACTGGTGACAGCATGCACCTTTCAGGTTAAGACTCCCTACGTGCCCAATCCTGACTTCAGTGTGGACCTGGGACCAGTGTGTTGAGCCTGCCTCATCAGTTTGTCTTCTCCAGGGGCCCCATGTGATCCTGTGATAGGGATGGGGCGCAGTCACAGTGACAGAGCTCACAGATGTCAGTCCTCACCACTTCACCACAGCCTGCCTGGGCAGCTTCTGAAGGAGTGGTGATAGCATACAGGGATTGTCTTCCCATGCAGCTCAGCTCATTGTCTTCTCTTTGAGTAAAGGCATCAGGAATACACATATACAAAGTCCAATGAGGAAATCGAAGCCCAGGGACCAGACTCCTAATTCTCACTGCTTATCTTACTATATTAATTTACAAAACGACTTGGTTAATCCTTCCCACTTGCTTGTGCTCTGCATTAAAATCCTCCGAGGCATGTTTCAGTGCACCAAACAACTTGATGAGATGGCCAGGATAAA